AGAGGGGAGGTCTCCTTACCAGGACTCACTACTCCACGTTGGCCAAACTGCCCCCAGTGGCTTTCCAGAGAAGCGCAGCCTTCCCAGCCACTTGGCCAAAAGGAAGCTTTTGGAAATGGGAACTTCACCCTGGGTTGGGAGACCCCCCTGCTGCAGCCACCACCACCCACATGCTAGCGCCGAAGGCCCAGGAGGCCTGATGCGTATGAAGGCCTCCCAAGTATCTCTGCTGTAACCACAGGGCTCTGGTGCGGGTGAATCCTGTCGGGGCCTTACTGCCCTCGCCAACTAGCCATCTTCTCTGCAGTGTTTCCTGGGGCCCCTGCATTCTTGTCCTGCTCTCCATCCTCCATCGGGCAGTCACCCTCAAGGCCGCCCCCGCATCTGTCTGTCTGTCTGCAGGTGGAAAAGCTGGCGCGGACCCTGTTCTTGTGGAAGATCGAGGTCCACGACCAGAAGGAGCGTGTGTACGAGATGCGGCGCTGGAACGAGGCCTTGGTCACCAACATGCTGCCCGAGCATGTGGCCCGCCACTTCCTGGGCTCTAAGAAGAGGGACGAGGTGAGGGGCGCATCCTCAGCTCTGACATGGGGACGTAGGCCTTCTTGGGCCGCGGAGTCAGGGGAAGGCAGGGTCCAACCAGCAAGGACAGTTAGGGAAGCCAAAGTTCCCCAGGCGTCTTCCAAGGCTTGCCTCTCCGGGAAGCCACGTTGCAGGAGAGGCTTAGTGAGTCCCCCTTCCTGCCGCCGGGACCTCCTTAAACAATGCTTCCTATTGCCCATGTCCCCACTGCTCCAACTCTGCTCTCCCCCCACCCCACCCCCTTCCTCCCGGCGAGGGCTCCCGCAGGCATGGGCCAAGCAAGCTGCTCTTGCACATTCAAAGTTTGGACCAGGTCACTGTGGGAGACGTGCGCGGGCAGGTTGCTGGGTGCAGCATCAGGGTCCCGGGAGGAGGGCGTCGGTTGAGCCCTGGGCCGTGCCTCTTTCCAGGAGCTGTACAGCCAGTCCTACGATGAGATCGGAGTCATGTTTGCCTCCCTGCCCAACTTCGCCGACTTCTACACAGAGGAGAGCATCAACAACGGCGGCATCGAGTGCCTGCGCTTCCTCAACGAGATCATCTCCGACTTCGACTCCGTGAGTCGCCCTCCTGGTCGTCCTCCTCCAGACTCTGCGGCCGGCCCGAGAAGGGTGGAGGCCAAAGGGAAGTGAGAGCTACTCCAGACTGGCCACCTTTCCCCAGATAAATCCCTCCCCGTGGACTCTGGACATCCGGAAAGGTTGGAATGAGGGGGCTTGAGGTGGGAAATGAAAGAGCCGAGCCAAGCAACTTAGGGCTCCCCGGCCACAGACCCGGTGGGCACTGGGTCGCTTGGACACCAGCGAGTGCCTTTGTGCACATGTCCAGCCACGCCAGGAGCGTGACCGCTGCCTCCCAGCATGGTGCTGGAGAAGCAGAGACACGCGGAATTCAGAAGCTTGCCCGGCAGAACGCATCCGAGAAGTGGGGGAACGAGCAGGTCTTTGATAGGAAAGCGTCTCTCAGGTGTTTTCTGAGCTGTTTGTCAGTTGTGGGCGGGTGCACGCATCACCCTCATCTGTTAACAACCTTCTCTTCTGCACCCCTGGTCTCAGCTCCTGGACAACCCCAAATTCCGCATCATCACCAAGATCAAAACCATCGGCAGCACCTACATGGCCGCTTCAGGAGTCACCCCAGATGTCAACACCAACGGCTTCACTGGCTCCAATAAGGTAACCCAACACCCCACTGGCTAGAGACAGGAGATGGGGTGATGCCCCCCCAGCCCCCCCCCCCCAGCAGAGGATTGGCTGCCCACGCCTGGCAGGTGGGGAATGAGAAGTCACTAGAGGGCCAAGGTTATTGAGGTCAGTCGTACCAAGTGGCCAGACACACATGTGCCCATCAGACATAGAACAGGACTTACCGCAGGCGGTTTCCCGAGAGCCCCCAGGAAACGCCCTGGGCCTCCACGTCCTTCCCAGCGTCCGGCGGACACCCAGCGCTGCAGCCACGGTCACAGGAGAGGACGCCTCCCCTTCCTGCTCACGTCTCTAGAGTAGAGGTGGCCCCACCCAGGTTGTAGGCATGGATTTTGTTGGGGTGGGGGGCTTCGCCTCACTGGCTGACGCACCCCTGATAAGCCAGCTCTTTAGCTGCAGAGAGAGGCAATGGGTTGTGGAGGGCTCCACGGGGCTTCCTGTGCCCCACAGAAAATGACTGTTTGAAAAGATTCTTCTGTGTCCACGGCTGCCCTGAGATGCAGAGAAGCACTGCCCTCTCCACGGATGTTTTAGGGACAGGCCTCAGGTGGCCCATCACCTTGAGTTGCTTAGCCTCAAAGAGCCGAAGAAGCCAATCAAGGGCAGCTGCAGGCACTTAGCGACAGGCGATACGACGTGGCTTGTGATCAAAAGCATGGCTCACAGCAGCCGCTGAGCTGGGCGGGATTTGGGGTCCCTGTGGGCACTGTCCGGGTTGTCCCAGGCCTAGTGTATCTGTCACGGCTACCAGTCCGAGAGGAAGAGGCTGCTGCTGGCGCCTTTGTGCAGAGAAGGGCAGCCTGAGGCCTCTGCCGCCAGCCGCCAGCCATGGGAAGGAGGGAGCAGGCAGGCGGAGCTCGCTCGCTGGCCTCACCACTGCTCCCTGCACAGGAAGAGAAGTCGGAGAAGGAGCGCTGGCAGCACCTGGCTGACCTGGCCGACTTTGCACTGGCCATGAAGGACACGCTCACCAACATCAACAACCAGTCCTTCAATAATTTCATGCTGCGTATAGGTAAGGCTCGGGTGCGGGGCAGATAGGCGGGAAGTTTGAGGGGCTTACAAAGACCGGAGGCATCTGGGCCGGGCCGGTCCTCGGGCTCAGGGCCAGAACCTTCTCTGCTGCAGCAGGCCTGCAGGATGGGGCGGAGGGGGCCCATGGGGGTTGAACTGAGGGCCGGGCCAGGTGGCTAGCAGGCTGTTGCTTCACCCGCCGCGCCACCAGAGCCCTCAGAGCCGGAGGGCCAGTCATCCCGTCGGCACTTTTCTAGCCAAACTCCCATGCGCACGGGTGAATAGTGGCCACCCCGTGGCCTGGGTGTCGTTTCCGGCTCGGGAGGCCCACCTGCCCTCTAATCTTCCCCACAGCGCTGCTAGGTCTGCTGAGGGCTTTGCTTACTTTACGCCGGCCTGGTGTTCAAAAGACGGTCAGGAGTCACTGCCGCTGGCCGCCTGCTGCTGAGCGGGGTGGGGGTGTTCACACCAGTTCGGGTCCCAGGAGACCTAAGCACCAAGGCTGAGTGCAGAGTTCGCCGCGGTACCACACTGAACGAAGGAGCTTGTGGGTGAACAAAGCGTCTTCTGGTAGCTTAGTTTCAAGACCAGTTTCACGAGGGCAGAATGCTGTGTGGAGCCCTGGTGGCTTCGTGGGTTATACACATTGGGCTTCTCACCCCAAGGCCTGCGGTTTGAACCTACCAGCTGGTGGTCGGGAGAATGAGGCTTTCTATTCCCACCGATGTACAGCCTTCAAAATCCGAGATGGGGTGCTGTAGGGCTCGGTGAGGAGCCGTCACAGGGAACGGAGTGGGGGCGGGGACGAGGCAGACTCTGGGCTGTGCTGAACTTCCGCCCTCTCCCCAGGCATGAACAAAGGAGGGGTACTGGCTGGGGTCATTGGAGCCCGGAAACCACACTACGACATCTGGGGTAACACAGTCAACGTGGCCAGCAGGATGGAGTCCACGGGGGTCATGGGCAACATTCAGGTACAGCCAGCAGTGAGCGAGCGCATGGCAAGGGCGGGAAGGGAGGCCACTCTCGCCTCAGGAGCACGTCAACTCCTGACACCTGGTGGTTCTAAGGTTGACTCCCCTGAAGCCCCCGCACCTGTACAGGGGTGGGGGGCTGGCGGAAGAGCCGGGCATAAACGGCCTGGGTGAGTGTGGCCACCGTGAGCTGGAGGGGCAGGGCTCTGAAGAGCAGCGGGCCCAGAGTGCACTGCCCTGGGACCTGCTGTCCCCACCCTGGAGGGCCCGGGCACTGAGGCCCAGTGTGGGCTGGGACCTGGGGGTCGTGGGCGTTTCGGTGTCAGTTCTCGGTCTTGACGCACCCTGACCCCCGCTCTCCGGTCTCCTCTAGGTGGTGGAAGAGACCCAGACCATCCTGCGGGAGTATGGCTTCCGCTTTGTGCGGCGGGGCCCCATCTTTGTCAAGGGCAAGGGCGAGCTGCTTACCTTTTTCCTGAAGGGGCGCGACAAGCCCGCCGCCTTCCCACAGGGCCCTGTGGTCACACTGCCCCACCAGGTGGTGGATAACTCCTGAGGGGCCTCTGGCCTGCCATGGCCCGCCCACGGAGGGAGGGTTTCTCTTTCGGAACCAGAGAAGTCTTGGGAAAGGACAGTCCCGACATCCCCACACTGTTGAAGCACATTCCCATAGACTTAGGGTTAACCACCTCCCCAAGCCTTCCTATGCGTGGACAAGAGAACTCCGAGGGCGGCCACCGTCCCCAGGATGCCTGCAGCTTCTCCCGCCTGGGGAGAGCAGCCCACCCAGAACCCGCTCCAGCCAGCACCTTCCCGAGAGCCCTGGCCACCAAGCGGTTGGCTGGTCCTTGTCAGACATGGCCCAGAGGGAGGGCCGCACAGCCGGGGGGCAGGTGTCCATGAGAAGCAGCGCGCTCTCTCTGAAGAGCCCCAGTGGGGACCGCCTTGGGGTCCGCGTTAGGTTACATGGCCCTAGTCCCGCCGTTCCTGATAATCTTGAAAGGTTCTTCCTGAACCCGTCACCTTAGTCCTGAGAGCAGAAAGTGCAATATTTCCTTTGACCTGGTGGGAGGGGGATCTATTTCCGAGAGAAAAAAATATATACACAGATCTTCTACATTTATATTTTTAACTTTCTGTTGAAAACACTTTCCAATATGGCCTTGCCTCTGAGCTCTGCTACAGTCGCCTTTGCTACTGCTTTAAACGGGAACTTACAGGTGTGGATTAAAAAAAACAACAACAGACTGTTTTATTAAAGCTTTATTCAACTTGACTGTGGTCATCCTAGAAGTGTGTGCACGCCCAACTGGAGAGAGCGCGTCGTACTCTGGGTCCCCTCCACGCGCCGGAGCCAGAGCCTCAGCTAGGAGCCCCGCCCTTTAGGCTCCACTGGCCCAAGCGGGCCTCCCTGATTGGAGCGCGGGGCCCCAAGTGACTGGTTAGAGCTAAGCAGGAACACAGCTTGGGGCCTGGGGACAGTAACATGAGGACACTCGAGCAAGGGGTAGAAATGGTCCACCAGAAACACGTGTTCTTGTCTGTGAACTGGCCCTCCACATACTCTCCTAAGCCAGGGACAAAAAAACGCCAACCACTCCCAGGTCCACGGTCACAGGGGAAAATGGTCCATTATACAGCCAAGGAGACGGGGCCGAAACCACACCGCCATCATAGCTTGGTGTCTGCAGGGGCGGGGAGAGGGCAGAGGTCTGCTCCCCTGGACAATGACTGGGGTTCGGGCAGGTATATTCTTTCATAGGTGACTTAAACACACTCAGCTCTCTTGCAGAATGTTTCAGGAAACCCTGACGTCTGTCTCTCCACAGTAGCTGCACACACTACCCTTCCCATAGCAACCGCCCACAATGCCCTGCTCCAAGCCAAAGGTGACCCTCCCTTCTGTGCAGGTCACCTCTGGTCAAGAGCTTCCTTCTAAAAGGCCCAAGAAAAGGAGGCAACGTTGCTCAAAACTCCCACAGAAGTCAGTTGAAGGACACACCTTCCCTCTCTCACACCGTGCCCTCTACTCCCCACAAACCACTTTGACTCCATCGAACACGTGCGCTTAAATAACACCTCGGAAGAACAGGGGCCTTGCGTATTCTAGTAAATGCTCAGACAGGTGAGAGCGGCCCTAAAAGAGAACGCCTTGAAGACAGCCCTGCCCGTATCATCCCGGGGAGAGGGCGGGCTCTCACCGCCATGACGGGCCACAGCATTTCCCGTTCCCAGACCCTCAGTTCCCTCTTGGCAAGGCTCCCGATGAAACCGGCTTTCAAAAGACCAGCTGCTCTCCTCTTGCGAACGAAGCGAACACCTTCTGCAGCGACTCCGTGCGAAAGAGACGCTCGTGCGAGACTCGCTGTTCTTCCCGGGAGGTGGACAGCGCATCTGTCCCTGAAGGAGAAACGTCTGTCTCAGCCAGTGCAACTGGGGAGTAAGAATGCCACTGACATTCGGGACCCAGGTGGTTTTGAGACGGGACTTACAAAGGGGAACCTACAACAGACCCCAAGGTCTTCCTCCTCAAAACACCTTATCCGATGTATTACTGCCAACGCTCCACTGCCATGCGGCATTTATAACCAACACAGTTGCTGACAAAGTCCACTTACCCACCAGAGAGCTAAGTGTTGTGTTATAAGGGAGTACCCCCCAAAAGCCCGGAATTCCCCCCGCAAAGCTATGTGAGCATTTATAACCAACCCCAGTTCTGGGCAGCTCTGACAATGTCCACTTACCCTGCAGAGAGCGAAGTGTATGAGGGGGCACTCCCAAAAAACGGAAAAATTTTTTCAAAGCTGTTTTTGGGTGTTTTTTTACAAAACAACCTTATCAACCTTCAAAGTACTCTCCATTACACTTAATGCATTTGTCAAATCTGCGAGTCCATTCTTGGAAACATTTTTCAAACTTATCTGTTTGGATGGCGGACAGCACCTCCCTCGTTTTTTTCTCCGCCTCTTCGTTGTCTAATGGCTGCCCTTTCGTGTCCCTCTGCATTCACAGAAATAAGAAGTCACACAGCGAGGTCTGGCAAAACCAGTCCCGTCTGCCACAAATCCGGCCTTTTTTGTCGCAGTTACAGGCAATCTTTTCAGAACCTTTAAACAGAAAGCTTGACAACAGTCTGACGTGGTGGAACAGACTCCAGGTGCACTATCCCCCTCACATCAAAAAACAAACGAGCATCGTCTTTATCTTCAATTTCATGTGACAAGCTTTTTTTGGGTGAGGTGCCGATGGCGCCTTCCACTGGCTTCATGTTTGCTTTTGGGGTCACAAGAATCGCACATGTCTTGTCGCGAGTAATGACAAAAAGTCTGGGTCACTTCAGAGCTGTTCTTTCAAAGCACAGCATGTTTCCACTCGATGCTCTTGCATGGTCAGTCAGAACCCGAGGCACAAATTTTGCAGCGACGCTCTCATTCCCAAATCTTCTGTTTAAGCTTGCTGAACTGAACTCTAAGTCCAGATAACTTGCCCATCTCTTCAACGGTGCTCCGTTGGTCTTGGAGCACAGGTGCACAAATATTGTCGATATTTTCATCTGTTCAGAAGTTGTCGGATGACCAGAATGAGGTACATTTTCACCTTTTTTGAAACGAGAAAACCACTCGTACACTTGTGTTTTTCCCAAAGTGCTGTCCTTGTTAATTGTGTTCAACATCACAACAGTTTCTATGGTATTTCCCCCCCCCCCCCAGCACAGGAAACAAAATTTCATAGCCAAATGCCCTTCTCTTAAATTGGCCATCAAGAAATGAGGTTCAAGTGAAACTGTATTTATGGAAAAATTCACTGTGACCAGAGAGAACCTTCCCAGATGACGCCACTGGGTGCACTAACTCAGAGCCAGTTGTTCAATGCTCGCCTCGCAGGAAAAATGCATGTAAAAGTTCTACCCAGCAGAGCTTTTTTCCGTTTTCTGGGGGGTACCCCCTCGTATACAGACTTGTCCTCCCTCTACAAGGGGGTTGCGAAAAGTTCATGAGGAAATGAGGCGAAAAGATCATAGACTTTCTCATGAACTTTCTGCGGCCCCTCATTACTGGCTCCACTCCTCACAGGGGCTTGCTGACTGTCCTCCAGGGGGCTCCCATGAACTTTCTGCGGCCCCTCATTACTGGCTCCACTCCTCACAGGGGCTTGCTGACTGTCCTCCAGGGGGCTCCCATGAACTTTCTGCGGCCCCTCATTACTGGCTCCACTCCTCACAGGGGCTTGCTGACTGTCCTCCAGGGGGCTCTGCAACAAAGGGCAGGTCTCAAGCGGAAAGAACCACGGCAGAGTGGGTGCAGCCGAGGAGGAAGAAACCCAGGATAATTGTGCTTGCTGTTGATGGAGGGAAGATGAGCAGAAACAAGGAAAAACCCTTTTTCCTTGAGAACAGCTCTGGTTCCTAATCAGAACAACTTGTCTCAAGAAGCCTGCTGGGTGTCTAATGCCTGTTTCTCCCTGTTTCAGTCAGTGTCAGTCGCTCTGCCCGCTCCGCTGGGGCATCCTTCTCTTACCTTGATAGGTGATGGTGACATCTGTCGGGAGACTAACTGTGAGGTCCTTATACAACAGCCGGGCACAGAATGGAAAGGACCGGCCCGCTGGCTCTACTTTGTACATGAACGATAGCAGGTTGCACTGTGGGTTTCTCTGCAGGGGCCCAGCCAGATAGGAGGCAAAGTCGCTCTGAGGGAGAAGGGTTCCGGACAAACACGATGATGACTACCATTCCTGAGAAACGTGGTAATCCAAAACATGTCCACCAACAGACAGGGACACAAACATGTCTAGCTAAATTTACTTCACGAAATTTCAGAGACTAAGTAAGGGACAGAGAAATGCCCGGGGGGTGGGGGGTGGTGAGGGGGAGAGAAGGGATTTGTAACGATTAACAGTCTGGCCAAAATACCCAAGCCATGGTATGGTTCATTCTCTCCCATGGGTGGGCTTGCACTGTGGAGCTGGGGAAGAATACTGAAAGTACCAGGGGCTGCTCAAAGGACAAACTGATCTGTCTTGGAGAAGTAGAGGCAAGAATGCTCCTCAGAGGCAAGGACGGCGAGGCTTTATCTTAAGTACTTTGGACAGGTTGTCAAGACCAGTCCCTGGAGTGAGACATGCTTGGTAAAATGGAGGGGCAGTGAAAGAGCGGAAGGCCCTCCAAGAGGTGGACAGACACCGTGGCTGCAGTAACGGACTGCGCAAAGGGACAATTGCGAGGGGGCACAAGACAGGGCAGTGTTTGGTTCTGCCGCGCAGAGTAGCTATGGGTGGGAACCGACTTGATGGCCCTTTCCAAGAGGAAAGGCTCGGTGGGGGCTTCAGGAGGCAATTACCCAGTTAATGCTCCGCTGGCAGGGCGCGGGCATTCACACGTCCCACCAAGTTCCGCAGGGTTAATCTAACTGAAAACCGGAGCCTCCAAGTCCGGACACATGCACAGGGTGCGGACCTGCTGAGCGGACGGGGCCAACTCCCGCTCCCTTTGGTCAGACCAACCCGGCTCTCATTTGGCAACCCACAGAAGGTGAACCAGTGTCCAGAAAACTGACCATAATCCTCCGTGCTATTTAAAAAACCATTCCTTTTCCTGATTTGGTAAGGCCCGTGACACATAGAACTACGTAATCGATGAATCCTTGCTGACTTAAAAACACACTGACTACAAGCCCTAAGACTGATAAAGTGGGAGAAAATATGGTACCTCAAATTCCTAACAAAACTCCACCAACGACAGGACTGGTGCCACTCACCTGCTCCCCAGGACCGTGGCCCTGAGAGCCTCTTCAATATGGAACCCAACCCAGCCCAAGGTCACACTGAACCTAGGGAGGAGACTGGCTTAGAAAATAAGGGGTCCCACAGAAGGGCTACATTCCTTTAAAAATCCCTCATAGGAGCGCAGTCAGTCAACACTTCCTTCAAAGCAAAGGGGAGTGTTGAGGGGGACGGGAAAAGTAGATGAATGGAAAGCGAACAGAAATGAGCATGTTCCAGTGTTGTAAAGAATGCACCCATTGCCACGGAACGATTGGTGCGGAAAACTATTAAAGAGGAGAGCCTGGAAAAACTAACCCAAGTGCTGCCAAGACAATTCTGACTCAGAGCAACCCTACAGGGCAGAAAGGCTCCCTCGGGTCCCCAAGGCTGTGGGTCTTTGGACAGAAAGAAAGCCCAATCTTCCGCCAGGTGCCTACATCGGCTGCGGTGTAAACCTGTACCATTAAGACAATGCAGTTTTAAGGAGGACAGAAATCAATGGTGTAGCAACTGCATTCCAGGAATTTGTGTGGGGCAGGAAGGCTTCAAGGACGCAGCCTTTGGGAGTAGAGCCACCCGTCACCCACATCCCTGCTTCCACACACACCCCAGAGTCTCGAAAGGGTAAGAAGAGGGTGGTGAGAAATAAGCACTAGAAGAATGGTCTGGCGTCTGGCTCAGAGTTGTGCAACATCTCACATAGCAGAGAGGTCCCAGGAGCAGGGGTGGGGTGAGGGGGTGGGGGGTCTTAGTGGTGTTGTTTTCCTTCTAAGCTTATCCTTGGCCCATAAAATGAGCTAAGTAGGATTCCAGACAGATACCTGAAGCTGATCCGCCTGGTACTTCCTCCCCGCGTACGCATTCAGGTATTCGCAGAGACTGAAGAGGAAGTGCTGAATGTCAGTCTGTAAGTACTTTGCAGCGAGCTCCTGGAGGGGAATGAAGGCCGGAACTGAGTGGTGATGGATCCGAACCGGCTTCTGTATGACCAGGTCCACAAAATAGGACTCCAGGAGGTGCCCCTCGAAGGCAGTGTTGATGCAGATACAGACCCCACGGCTGGTCAGCTTCCCGCTGAGCCCTGGGATGAACGAGATGGTTCTAGTCAGCGGATGCCATGCTATTCGCCCCTGGCCCCAGCAGGGTCCAGTGCAGGCAGGACACGCTCAGAGGTTCGCTTCCCCTGGACCCTGACCCACTGTAGGAGCTGAGTCGCCAAAACCACAGAATCATAGAAAAGGAAAACACAATGACTCCTCTAAAGCCCAAACTACGGAAGAAACTTTGGAGTTGTCAATTTACTTTTTTTTTTAAAAAAGAAGTGTTAGATAATCTACAACAGCCCTCAATTCTTCCCATAATCCTCTTGTGGCAGAGACAGGCGAATAAATTCCCAATTTCATTGTGAAAGTGACCGGTGGCGTGGAGCCAGCCAGCAGCAGCAGTTCTAGTGGCCCCTTTGGCACAGTACAGATAGCCGAAATCAGCAATCTGAGCCAGCCAGCCAGCCAGCAACCAGTCTTATGCTCGACAGACTCAGCCGGGATGTGCAAATGTGCCTATAAATAGCACGCAAGCTTTGTGAATGTGTGCCAGGGGGCGGGGCAGGAAACAAAATAATATTTGTGAAACGAGTCCAAGATCAACAGTACAACCAGCAGTCACGGATGAGAGAGAGAGAGAGAGAGAGAGAGACAGAGTCCCAGTGTGAGTCAGGCCAGGAAGGAAAAGCCAATACCTGTAAACCAATATGCCTGCAGAAGGGCTTTCAAATTTTCCCGTTTTGCCTCTAAATCTTCTTGCTCGCTTGCCTCCAGGGCTTGGTCAGGTTCTAGACTGGCTTCCACCTGCAAGAAGGCGGCAAATCAGACTGGGTCCCAGGGAGTACCACCCCTGCCCAGCGCACAGGACCGCTGTTCTGCAACTGCATCCAGAAATGCCCCAGGCGGCCTGCCGCCCCAGTCCTCGCCGCCCCAGAGTCCACCCTGACTCATCAGGACCCTAGAGGGCAGGGGACCACTGCCCTGGGGTTTCAGAGACTTTTTGGGAGCAGCCAGCTGCATCTTTCCCCCACGGAGCAGGTAGTGGGTTCAACCTGCTGACCCTGTGGTTAGTATCGCCCACTGTGTCATCACAGCGGAGGAAGGACTGAGTCACAGTGCAAGGAACCAGGCAGAGCTGCAGCCTGAAGCACCAGTAAGCCTGCGGTGGGAAGGCCTCTGTTTTCAGAGGAGAAAGGCAGGGATTTCAGTCAAGATTAGGATGAGCCCAGGAGTGCAGCTCGAAACCAGCAGTGGCTCCTTGGGAGAAGGACGGGCTTTCTACTCCCGTCAACATCTACAGTCTCGGGCACCCACAGGGGGGCTGCGAGTCAGCATGCTTCGCTCGCTGGCAGTGAGGCTGAGGGAAACAGTTGTAAGGATCGAGGCTGGGACAGCTGGTTTGGGTCACAGAGTGCAAGGTGTCATGTGTCAGGATGGAAAATACTGATTTTCAGATTCAAGCTTCCAGCTGTGAGACAAGTGTGTATCAGACTGACCCTGCCCCCAGAACACACAAGCAAGCTAGCGACAAGGCCAAGACCAAATATCCAAACAAGCAAGAGGACAGAACACGGTCAGAAGGTGAGAGAGCCCAACCAGAATGCCCTGGGCAGAGGAGTCGGTGGCCCTTCCCTGGAGTTCTTCCCCACGGGGGACTTACTGATGTGTTTCTAAGGCTGATGGCCTCATAGGAAGCCAAGCCTAGGCCGCAGTGTCCCACTGTCAGCGAGACAAATATCAGAGGCCCAGGTCACCAAAGCAGCCTTTCTCCGGGCCAGGAGCCTGAAGGACAGGGAACCCAGCATTCTACGTGCCACCTGCCTCCTGGCATCTGACAGTTCCTAAACTGTCTGTCACTGTACCGAGAGACCACGGGGACTGAAGACTGAAAAGCTAAGCTCTTCCCCGTGGGAAATCCAAATGGAAGGTCAGGGCTTGGATGCAGGGTGGATCATCTAAGGGACTGAACGCCACCAGGATCAGAGACGAGAACCATGGAGATACTGGCCTCCCAGCCACCTTCTACTCACGTTGGCTTGCCGGCGCTTCACCTCGGCCCTCAGCTGGTCGCGCAGAACTCTTAGCTTCTGGACCTTGGCCTCCAGGGTGCCGTCCTCCGCCGCCGCTGCTGGCGGTGGCTCTTCCCGGTGTTCCCGAGACCTGTGCATCTGAATCTCTAGTCTTTCCAAATGAGCTAGGACACCTATGGAAAGTGGAGAGGGGATTTCGGGGAGGGCAGAGGGCGACCTTGTGGCCAGCTATCCTGCTAGGCATTCACCACAATTCCCAGATGATGAAACCACAGGAGCAGACAACAGAAACCTATGATCAGCAACCAGAGTCTGAACACGAGACAAAATGTCCTGGCTCGGAAGGGCTCTGTCCAAGACAGCACGTTAGGTCTCCCGCACACGGATCCAAGAGAGGTCCCTTCGGCTTATTGTGAAGGCACACCTCCACTGTAGCAAAGGACGACCCCACGACGTCTGGGTAGCTCAGACAGAATTCCCCTCACCAGCTTCTGTCCTTCCAGCTGTTGGATGTGAGTCAGTGGGGTCTCTCATGCAGACACAGCACCTGTGTTGTACAGTCCCCAAGGGCATACCTATATGACAGGCTTCAAAACACTCAAGGAAAAGTGGAATTGAGGTAAAAATAAAAGACAGATGAACTTTCTCCACATGAGCTCCACTAGGTTCAAGACAAGTTTGTAAGCAATACCTGCCACTTAGTCCCCTCCCTCAAGAACCAAGTCTTGGGGGGGCCCATGAAAGATTTTTAAAGATTAGGAAACAAAATGGCAGACAGAGTCCAATCAGGACTGTACGGTGCATGCCTAATGATGGCCCACTAAGAGGCCCCCAAGACAGAGGGGAAGGAGGAGCACCCTGGGTTAGGTGGTCCTCTGGCCTCATTTCTGCTAATGATTAGGCTAGCTTCTTCAAACTCGCATAACTTGTTATCATTAGTTGGCCCTCTAGAGAGCCAACAAGCACAACTGCCCAGAGCATCCCAAAAAAACGCTTGCCACGGCCTTTGCTCTTGACCGGTCATTTCCCACTTTGAACCACTCGGACCTCGGGAGTCAGTATTGTGATTCGCCATCTTTAGGAGCGTACGAGAAAAGCCACGCTTAATCTCGCTCCCTCGTCTGAGAGCGGCTTCAGGATCTTGTGCACAATTTCCATTGAGAGCTCTGCTTTTGTCTGCAGCTGATCCGGGCACAAAAGTTTTGCTGCCCAGCAAGCTGAAAGTCTGCTCAACTCTCCTTTTTTAAGTCAGAGTTATCTAAGCTCCCGATAAGAGGGCTATGGTGTTGGCTGCTATTTCTGTTCATCATTGGCCCTCCTCAATTTGAGCACACACGCGATTCATTTCCTCCCAGCAAATGAATGTGGTCATCACCGGGGGCTTCATCTTCAGCCCCGTCCCACCCCTTCTTCAAGCAGATTCTCCAGTGGTAAAACACTGAGTTCTCTGGAGGCACTGTCAAAACTTTCCATAAGGCCTTTAGTGAGTTCAACATTCTTCTACCCAAGACTCACCATCAACTTGATGTTGGTTCTCGCTTCAGTTCTGGCAGAATTCATGTTGCTCTGAGAGGGGCTCTTCTCAAACCTAGGTCTGATCTTTCTCAGTGCCTCAGACTAGATCCTCGTCAGAGCAAGGAAGTGTATTTTGGTGCAAAAAGCAACAATTTTTCATAAATACATTTTTCGTGGACTTGAAAAAACCCAACTTATTGTCTATTAGGTGGGGTTTCCATAGCAGTTCACAGCTTTTTGTCTCCGACTTAAACACTCAGCAAAGCTTCCAAGAGCTGGCCCTGCCCTCCCTTGTTCTACTGTCTCCCTCTGTGAGATAGTTTATTGTGCCAGCCTGGCCGATAAACACAAGTGGGATTAACTGAAGGCAGAGAGATAAATGCCATGGTGAGTTTCGCTTTTCTTGTTGAATTAAGCCATTTGTAGTGCTTTATAATTTAACTGTTTCTTTCTTGTATTATATATTTAACTATATATGATTAAACAGTTCATTCCTTGTTATATATCTACTTCTTTATAAATAAATATATTAAATTATCAGCAATTTAGTTTTCTCTCTCTAGAGAACCCTGTCTAACACACTCTGATAGAACACAATCCTCCCATTCCCCCATGTCAAGACCTGCCGAACCCCCCAGCCTCCAGCCTCGGGCAGTTTCCCTCCCACCCTGTTGACTGTGGTATGCAGACCTTTGTCTGGGTGTTTCTTTGCTGGTCTCCTGCGTAGTTGTCCTTTTGTAACGGACTGACTTCATTCAGCACAATGTGCTGCAAGTCTTTCATGCCCTGAGGTAGTGCCATCCCTGCTGTTCAGCGGAATCCCATTAAGTGTGTGTGCCCCAGTTTATTAATCCGTTCTTCCACGGGTGGCCATTGGGTGGCTTCCATCTATGAGCACTGCTGGGATGAACGCGGTGTGCAGCATTCTGGTCACGCTAGGTCTCTCACTTCTTCAGGGTGTGTGCCTGGCAAAGGTACAGGTGGGGCCCATGCATTTCTAGTCCCAGTTGTTTGAGGAAGCGTTGCATGAACCTTTGAAAGAGCCCTTCCTTGTGGAAAGACCTTAATGGACTTTTTTCGCCTCAGGCTAGTCAAAAAGCTTTGTCAAGGAAAATGAAGGAAACCTGTCCTCTCTCCTGGCTGATAATCCAGGAAATAAACTCCAGCGGGATCAAGGGGAAGCAGATCCACACCAGCTGCACAACTGCTTTCTATGTCCTATCACTGCTCATTAAAGCCCCACCCCACCGCACCCGGGGGCTTTCTCAGGAACCTCAGACTATGTTA